GGATTAGTGAACCTGTAACAATTCCTACTTTATTGCTGCTCAAGGGTGTTCTTTAGCAGAGCAGCTGAGCTGGGAGGTTGGGCTGATAAAGGTGTATGCAGTCATAATGCACCACAAGAAACCTGATTTTTCATAGGCATATCAAAATTTTAATTCCAAACATTAGTGGCAGTGTGAGTAAAAAGGACCAGGTCTTCTTTAGGACACACATGCGACAGCTGCAGTGGGGCGTGCCTTGAACTGGCAGGAGGGAATCGTAGAGTTGAAAGGGCTGTGATGAGAGTAGCAACGGGGCAGGTGTAACCCCTGCACAGCCAGAGGGAATGGTGTGGTGCATGGTGGGATGTTCACATCTGACTTCATGACAGTGCTGGGATTTTGGTTCCTCTTTTCTTTCCCCTTAGGGCTTTGTTCTGGCTCCTATGGGGAGAGTGCAAATGGGCTCAGGGATTGCTCCAAAGACTTTTGAAGTCTAGATCTTCCTGCAACAGAAGTTGCTGGGCTTTGTATCTCTTTGCCATCTCTGGGGGTCTGAGCCAGGGTTTGGGGTCAGTCTCTGGGAAGCCATATGTGCTGGGATCAGACTTTCCTAGAATGGGAAATCCCAAGGCTTTACCAGTCTCTGTCATGCAGGATCCACACAGACCACAGAGCTCCCAGCCTCTCATTAAGTCACCAGCCTAGTGGGAACTGCAGGAAACCACTGAGAGGCCTGCTGGAATGGGAGCCAGACCAGCTTGGGTCCTCAGGGAGAGAGGGCTTGGGGGAGTCCCTTGTATAGGGGTGGCACAGCAGGCAGGGGCTGAGCCCACAGGCACCTTAGTGTTTGTACCACTGTGGTGAGATCAAAGGTGGGAGGGGGCTGCTCTGCTGGTTTTAGGGGCTTATGGGTGAGGAAAACTGTACTGTGGTTTCACATAGGGTGACCAGGTGTCCAGTTTTTGACCGGAACACCTGGTTGAAAAGGGACCCTGGCTGCTCTGGTCAGCACTGCCATCCAGGCTGTTAAAAGTCCAGTTGGCGGTGCTGTGGTGCTAAGGCAGGCTAGTCCCTACCTGTCCTGGCACTGCGATGCACCCTGGAAGCGGCCAACAGGTCCGGTTCCAAGCCGGGGGGGTGGGGGGGGCATGGGGCTCCATGTGCTGCCCCCGCCCCGAGCACCGGCTCCGCACTCCCATTGGCCAGGAACCAGCCAACAGGAGCTGAGGCAGGAAGCGGTGCCTGCGGCCGAGAGTGGCGCGTGGAGCCCTCTAGCCCTCCCCGCCTAGGACCTGGACCTGCTGGCTGTTTCTAGACGCATACAGCACGGTGCCAGGACAGGCAGGCAGCCTGCCGTAGCCCGCCGCTGGCTGGGAGCTGCCCAAGGTAAGTCCATGCCCCAACCCCCAGCCCTGAGCCCCCACAAACCCAGAGCCCCTCCTGCACCCCAAGCCCCTCATCCCCAGCACCATCCCAGAGCCTGTACCCCTGCCCTAGCCCAGAGGCCCCTCCCACATCCTGAACCCCTCATCCCTGGCCCCACTCCAGAGCCCTCACCCGGTCTTGTACCCCAACCCCCTGCCTCAACCCACACCCCGGTCTTGCACTCTGAATTCCTTGGCCCCCCCCCAGCCTGGAGCCCCCTCCTGCACCCCAAACCCTCATCCCCAGTCCCACTCCAGAGTCTGCACCCCCAGCCAGAACCCTCACCCCCTCCCGCACCCCAAACCCCTCATCCCCAGCCCCACCCCAGAACCTGCAACCCCAGCTGGAACCCTCACCCCCTTCCACACCCCAACCTCCTGCCCCAGCCTGGAACCCCCTCCAGCATCCTGAACCCCTCATTGCTACCCCACCCCATTGCCAGTTAGCACCCTCACCCCCTTCCTGCACCCCAAACCCCTGCCCCAGCCCAGGGAAAGTGAGTGAGGGTGGGGGAGAATGAGCCACTGAGGGAGGGGGAATGTAGTGAGCAGGGGCAGGGCCTCAGGAAGGGGTGGGGCTAAGATGTTTGGTTTTGTGTGATTAGAATATTGGCAACAGCAAAGCAAGCAGTTGCTTGGGGTGGCAAATTTGCATGGG